AGGGGCGCCTGGGTGGCTCAGTCGGTTAAGCGTCCGACTTCGGCTCAGGTCATGATCTCACGGTTCGTGAGTTCAAGCCCCGCGTCAGGCTCTGTGCTGACAGCTCAGAGCCTGGAGCCTGTTTCAGATTCTGTGTCTCCCTCTCTCTCTCTGACCCTCCCCCGTTCATCCTCTGTCTCTCTCAGTCTCAAAAATAAATAAACGTTAAAAAAAAATTTTAAAAAAATGAAAATTAAAATAATCTATGATGTAAGGGGCAGAGATGAAAAAAAGAATAAGATGTTTGTATATGATCATGATAGCATTTCAAATCAATGGGAAACGATAGATTATTCCATAAATGTTGAAGCATTTGAAAAGAATAAAGCTAAATAAAGTTAAAGTTAAAACACTCATACAAAATTATGATACATATGATCACAATTTAAAAGGTGAAAGTAATAGAAGACACAATAGCTAAAAATTTACAAATGAAAACATAACAGTGCATTAGCTTTTCAATCTCAAGTCTTACGTTTTTATATGCCTTGCACTCTGTTTCTTATCCTTTCCTAAAGAAAGCCTGAAATCTCAACTATTTTTAGATGGTATGCGTATGTTTGCTACTATGCTTATGTGCATGCTTTACTCTAGTAGATCACCATATTACGGTGGGTAACTTTCTTTTAATTTTTTTAGTTTTCCTTCTTTCCATGATCAATGTTCATATTCTTATTTGCTACTGCCAATCAGATGTGTTAAGAACAGAAATAGGAATAAAAATAAATCAGTTAATAGAATATGTCAGTTTATAAATCATACCTGCCAAACTGTAATAGCAGAAGGGTCTTAAACATGGTACTGATTATTTTAAAAATAAAAGAAATATCAATACAAAACAAAAAAAAAAGAAGAAATATCAACAGAGGTCACTGTTCTCTAATAAAAGGAGTGACAGACAACTTAGACTCCTAAAACATTGGGATTTTCCTAACAGAAGACACTTGATCTGATTCTCAGTCTTTACTGGTAAAATAGTAAATATTTATTCCAAAAGGTATTGTTAAATCAGTTAAGATTGTGGATTTCACAGTGCTTCCTATTTTTAAAAAATTAGATCAACAAAATGAAAGAAAGGTAAAAGGGGAGGGGAGGAAAGGGGAAAAGAGAAAAGCAAGGACTAAAATCTGGTGCCATTTAGCATAGGTCCAAGTTCAGTTTCCCAAGACTATCACTATATTTCAAAAGAGTAATTGATACTCAAAATGATAAATACCATGGTGGCATTATCTTGGCTACTTGCACTTCTCTGGTCCACAACTATTTTCCAATTGGTTCTCTAGACTTATGGTGATTCTATGAGCTACTTGATAGCTGTTCAGTAAGTTAGTTTTTGGCTCAAATTAATCAGATCAAGTTTTTGTTATTTCAACTAAGAACTCACACAAAGGTCAGGACCAAAAACAAAGTTACACTTCAGATATGTTAGCCACAGGTCCTGCACAAATAACACTGAAAATGAAAAATGTGGCTGTAAGCCTCTTATGTAGAGCAAAAGAAGAAATATTAGGAATTACCTATCTAGGTGGTTGTGAAGTGAAGTACACATCAGAATCATCCAGGGAATTGCTTCAAAACATACACCCCCATGGTTCACAGAAGATGAAATACAATACCCCTTAAACATGGCTCAACCTCACTCATAATGAGAGAAATGATATTTACAATGACACCAAGATACTATTTTTTTTTAAATAAATAAACATTAAAAAATAAAATTATTTTGAGAGAGAGAGTGAGCCCGAGTGGGGGAGCAGCAGAGATAATCCCAAGCAGGCCTGTGCTCTCAGCACAGAGCCTGATACAGGGTTTGAACTCACAAACTATGAGATCATGACCTGATCCAAAACCACGAGTCGGACACTTAACCAACTGAGCCACCCAGGCGCTCCCAAGATACTACTTCTTCTCTAACTGTCAACAACCCAGAGCTTGATAACATCTTTTGATGAAGCTATGGGGAAATAGGCACTCTCTTAGATATCCGGGAACACAAAATGGTACAGACCGTATGGAGAGGAATTTGCCAATAAATGGCAATATTACATGTGTCTACTCCCTGACTCAGCAATTTCATTCTAGGATTCTATCCTAAAGACACATGAGCAAAAACAAGAAATGACATTCGCATAAATCTTTATTGTAGCACTATTTGTAATAGCAAAAGAATGGAATCCTGATGTCCATCAACAGGAGACTAGTTGAATTAGCTTTGGTAGGTCTATTCAACAGAGTACATATTATGCAACAACAGAAAGGTATATATCCTGCTATGGAGCAAGCTCCAAGATAATACTGTAAAATGAAGAAAAGTGCCTAAGAAGTGGGGGTTGGGAGGAGAGATATGAACACATATACTATACATATCTGCTTAAATTTTCAAAAAGAAGCAGGGGCGCCTGGGTGGCGCAGTCGGCTGAGCGTCGGGCTTCAGCTCAGGTCATGATCTCACGGTTTATGAGTTCGAGCCCAACATCGGGCTCTGTGCTGACAGCTCAGAGCCTGGAACCTTTCAGATTCTGTGTCTCCCTCTCTCTCTGCTCCTCCTCTGCTCGTGCTCTCTCTCTCAAAAATAAACATTAAAAAAAATTAACAAAACAAAAAGAAGCAATGGAAAAGCAAACTAAAACTAATAAAAATGTTTATGTACATTTTTAGGTAAGGAGAGAAGGGGGAGGAGTGGCATGGAGTAACCAGACCTCTCCAAATATACCTTGATTTAACAGTTTTAACTCCAGAACTATATAAATGTTTTACATGCAATAAACAAAAATAAAAATAACTGAAAGCAATAAGCCCAACTGATTATCAACTTGGTGATATAACCAAATGGGAAACTATTTTAAGTTACTTTGAAACATGGTATTCTGACTATACACCCTAAGGAGGGAAACTCACAAAGAAATCATAAACTGGGTCTATTGTTTTTAGTAATTTTAATGTTGCCAATCTGTATGTGTGCATTAGGATAAAACAGACATAATTATGTTAATGTCATCTGGAATTAAGATTTTTGGGTTAAGAGAAAGAGAGATAGAAATATAAAGTCAAACAAAGTAAAAATATCATTTTTCTTCTTTTAGTGGAAAATGGTATATAGAGACTACAGCCATTTTGAATTTGAAATATCAGCATGAACTCAGGATTTGGTTTTTGCTTTCTAAGACATAAACATTTCCTAGCCCTGGTCACTGAAAACCCTAGGAACAACTGACCTCATGCATAAGTATCATAGGAATTACAGTATCTTCTTACAGTATCTTCTCAATCCCACCTCTCCTGAGGCAAATACTGGTTCTGATATTCTAAGCACAGAGCTGCATACACACATCTCTCCTTTTTTATATCCATATGGTTGTATACTATGCACACTACTCCACATCTTTCACTTATTATTTTAGAACTTGGTTCCTTTGGGTACATGTATTTATTTCATTGTCTAACTAGAATTCCACTGCCAATCTTGCTATTATAAACTCTCTTCCCTCCCTCTCCCTCTCCCCAATATATATTTTACCTCCAGGAATTTTTTATCTTGCAGTTATTTATATTGTTGATATATAATGAATGAATTCACCTGCTAACCAAGACTCTCTAATCTGCAAATGCTGTTCCCTCTCCCTCTAATGCTCTTTGCTTCCAATCTAATTTGCGATGAATTTTGACTCCTCCTGCAAGAGTTAAAGTGTTATGCTCTGAGTCCTTCTCTTACCCTATTCTCCTGTGTCTGCAGGCCATCTCCGATCCCAAGCAGAGTAAAGACACGTTCCTCTAAGTTCTCACTGCATCTAGTGAATAATCACTCTGTATGATAATTGTCCATATAAAACAAACCTGTCTTAATACTACACAGTAAATTCCTGGAGAACTAGGGCCTTATGTTTTCTTATATGTAATTCCAATTAAATTCTGGCCAATGACTGGATGGCTAAATAAATGAAGAACAGCCTTCAGCATCCTTTCTACTCTAGTAACCATTTAAGAACCATTTCAATGATGTTTTTTCTAATACCCAAATTTTCCCACTACCAAAGAGGATATATCTTCCCTGCATCCAGCACAGGGTCAATAAATATTTACTGAATAAATAAAATACTTTAGAAGGTCTCTACCTTTAAGGCCTATTGCAACAAACATACCACAGTACGAAACTAAAAGAAAAGACACTTATGGAATAAGTTTGCTGAATTGCGTATTAAAAAGGAAGGTTCAGCAGGGAATTGCTATTTTAAGTTATTATGAAAATAACTTACCAGTTACCTGTAACTGTGACCTCCCACTGTGGTTATTACTAGTATCAGAACGTGGTGAAGCAGTGGCCATGTCCCAATATTCAGCTTAAACCTATTAAAAAGTGTATTCAGGTGTTAGACAAGGGAGTGTAATTTTCAATATGATTAAAACAGTTTAAATCAATTAGGAAACTATACCCAATACAATATTTTCAACTCATCAAATGACATATTCACAGCTGTCTTCCACTTAAAATGAAAACTTAGTACTATAAGCATTAAAGAAGAATATGGCCAATAAACCAAATTTAGGTCAATTTGGACAAAATAAATGATGATACTAAGAATCCAGGGTTAGTCTATAAAAAAAATAAACATACAAATAGTTTTTATTATATAAGATATACTTCATTTATTTACTTGCTTACTTATCTGAACCACCTAAGTAAATTGGCACTTCACCTTTTAATACTTCAATGTGTATTTCCTAATGCAAAGCTCTTAAATAACAAAAGAACAATGACCAAATTCAGGGATTTAACCAATACATTACTATTCTCTATTATACAGTCCATATTCTATAATTTCGACTGTCACAAACAAGGCATTATCATATTTTTTCACTATAGGACCTAGTTCAGATTTATATATTGCATTTGTTATCCTGTCTCCAGTAAATCTTACATTTCTTTATATAGTTAATTTTTTCCATGTTCTACTTCATTCCTTCACCTCAGTTTTTACTTTTTAAGTAAAATACAAAGCTGAGCTACTTCACCTTTTTTCTACATGGCAAATATTTTAAGACTAAATTTCTATCCACCTTTAACCCACTAAAGGAAGGATAAAATGGAACATTCTAGTCAAGATGAAGAGAAATTAATGAACATAATATGTTTATCTTGTTTTTCCCTGTTTGTAGTCTTTTTTATGCTCCATTTAGATCATTCCCCCAAATTCAGGAATCTAATACTCTCAAAATCATCATACTCTCTCTTCACTTATTTATAGTTGCATATATTATGTGTCTGTATATATGTGTGTATGTGTATAAAAAGATAAACAGTTGGGGCACCTGGGTGGCTCAGTCAGTTGGGCGTCTGACTTCGACTCAGGTCATGATCTTGCAGTCTGTGAGTTCAAGCCCCATGTTGCGCTCTGCGCTGACAGCTCAGAGCCTGGAGCCTGCTTCAGATTCTGTCTCTATCTCTGTCTGCCCCTCCCCTACTCTCACTGTGTGTGTCTCTCTCTCAAAAATAAAATAAAAACATTAAAAAAAATTTAAAAAAAAAGATAAACAGTTGCTTACTATTTGATTAATTAACTTTGGTTAACATTTATTCACAGATTCTGCAACCTCATCTAGGCCAATGCTGTTATTCTGCAGGTGAGAAAACCAACTCAAGGATTACATCACCTGCAGGTACGTCAGGTGTCATATTCATAGAAGAAAATCAATGGGAATAGAAACTTTCAATAATCCATGGACAATGAAGAAAATCAATGGTGAAGGTTTGAAACTCAAGGCTTTTAATTTTAAGTAGCTGGTATACTAAATATTTTGAAAGGTCCTCCTGCTTCAGTGTAAAAGATCCTGGATAAATTAAAACCAGTATAGTTTTCAAACACTGTTATATTTTCAAGAATATAATAGCAAAAAAACAAACAAAACAAAAACCATAAAAACAACAACAAAAAAACCTTTTAACTAAGCTGAAATATAACAGCGAGTAGTAAGCAAAAAATACATTTTTTTTAACTAGAATATTGCCCTGGATGTGCATGCTGATAGCAGCACTGGGATCAAGAGATAAAGCACTCGGTCTGTTGCAAGGTAAGGGAGCAGAGACTCCCACAAGAAGCAAGGACCCAAGTCTGCTATAACCTGTAACACAGCAGAAACATATACATATGCTTGCAGGAATGGACCCCAATTTAAGCCACTGTGATTACCCAAGATAAAGAGCAACCAGTTATGAGCTTACGGTTTAAAAAAAAAAATCAAACTTATAAGAAAACAAGTCACCATGAGTAGAAACAAAAAATAATACTCTCTGAGCCTACATGGACTTTACATATTATGATGATTAATAGTATAGATTAAGTATAAATTTTAAAAATTTAGTTTTAACAATAAAAGATAAAACACGGTCAAGCAAAAAGACTTGGAAAAATAGCATTGCATATTTGAAAAAGAAACCTGACAGAATTTGCTTAAACTCTTTCTTTTAGAATGGTTTCAGATTTATACAAGTTGAGAAGATAATGGAGCTCTCATATACCCCACACCCAGCTTCCATGTGGGGTATATAAAAACTCACATCAGTATGCCACATTCGTCATAACTAATGAGACGATCTCAATATATTATTATTAAATTCTATAGTTTATTCAGACCAGATATAACTTAAGAATCAGTAAATTTGAATATAAATCTGCAAAAGTCATTAACAAGTAAGTACTGAAATAAACAGATGGAAAATACCAAAGAAAGGCTAAAAGACATGAAAGTAATTTGACATATATTTCTATTCATATTCCAGAAAATGAAGGAGAGAAAGTGACTTAATTTTCTAGAAACAATGAAAGACATTTATCCACAATTCTAAGAAATACAGCATGCATATATGTACGTATATGTATATGTGTATATGCATATGCATATGTATATGTATATGTATATGTATATGTATATGTATATGTATATGTATATGTATATGTAAAAGAGGTGGGATAAAAATAAAGACATTCACATGTGGCCACACAGTAGTGAAACTGCAGGACACCAACAAAGGACCATGTTAAATAAAAGCAGCCAGAGAGAAGACATTACAAAGGAAGAGAATAATGTGACAGAATTCTTAACAACAATGAAAGCATAGAAGGTACAACAAGCATATCTACAAAGAACTGAGACAAAAATTATTCAACCACTAAAACTCTCTTTGGAGAATATGGAAGACATTAACACATTGCCAGAAAAACCAAAACAGAGTTTATCAACAGTAGACCTTTACCTTAAGAAAATCTAAAGAACATGTTTCATATACGAATAAAATTACCACAGAAGGATGCTCTAAGAGGCAAGGGAAAGATGGGCAAATAAATTGGTAACCATACAAGTAAATCTAAATAAATATTGTCTGAGTAAAATAACAACAACATTTTATTATAGGAGCTAATTATGTAAATCCCTTGCAGAGGGATTATAATCTGGTTTAATTTTAGACTGTACTGCACTCTCAGCAGAATTTCAAGGGTAATCATAAAATAAAAATGACAGTATAATTTCCAAGCTAGTAGAGTAGAAAAGAATTTAAAAAACCCAAGAATTCAACTAATCCATAAAAAGTCTAGACAGCTTTTTAAAAGCATAAATAACCAGAACCATCAGAAAGCACAAAGAGAATCCAAATACAGAAATAATCACAACAAATATATATGGATAATTTCAAAAAAGACACTTACCAAGTAAAGATACTGACAGAATTTTTAAAAATATGGAAAATAACATATGAGACAAATATAAACAAAAAGAAAGGTGGGATTAGTTATAAAAGCAGACAAACAGCATTATTAAGGAGAACAAAGAAAATGACAAGAGGTTCAATTCAGTAAATAGACATAAAATTTTTAATTTGCATGTTTAAAAGAAAATGCTCCCCAACATAGCAGCCTCAGCAAAAAAGAAGGGGAAGACCATTTCCCCAACAGACTTTCTAGCTGAGGATGATAGCACTGGTGGGGGAAGCATCCCTGTCTCCAAACCAGTAAGTGGGACTGATCTGGAAGATGTATCAACCACTTGATACAGTAATGGTAACAGCAGTATAAGGCACCTCCAACTAATCACTGCATCCTGACCACTGCTCTACAGGCTGCCTGGCAACCCATTATTGACCAGAGCCATCTTCCCAAATTGCTACTCTATACCACTTTTCTAGGAAACACAACTGGTGATGTGACAAAAGTCTCCATTAAGGAATTCTTTAGAGGATTAACTATCAGTGCAGTGAATTTACCATGTGAACCCAGCAACTCAAAGAGATTGAAAGGTTTTGACTATGTGGAGTTTGAGAACTTGCCATCTTTGCTCAATGCCCTCAATGAAGAGTTTCTGGTTAACAAAATTCCAATGGATACTCCTGATCAAGCTCAAGTTAAAGACAAGGATGGTTTTTCTTCTGGCTGAGGAAGAAATCAGGATTCTCAGAAAACATCCAAACACACAGCTTGGATGACTACCTAGAAGAGGTGATGACAGCTGTGAAGACAAATATCATGATCATTATGGAGGCCAGGATTGCTAAAATGACCAACACAGCAGAGACTATGATTGAAGTTATGGCTCCAGGATAAATGGCAGCAGAAGTGAATGTGGTAGTGGCTACTAAGGGATGATGACTACAGAGGGAGTGGGACCACCATGAAGACCAATATGATAGACATGATGGTCAGTGAGGAGCTCCAAAGACAATTATTCTGGGGATGATTAGAGACATGATGACAGAGGTCTCTCCCAAAGAACCAAACTGAATCTAAAGCTGCAGAGTATTCCTAAGGAAGAGGACTCCTTGGCTGGCACCTCCCAGTTTAGTGGAGCAGCTTCTATGTTTGGAGCAGCAAAGCCTATTGACCCAGCTATAACAGAACAATAAGAAGTAAAAAAGCAGCTACAGAAGGAACAGGAGACAATGCAGCATCAGTTAGATGAACCCAAACTAGAATGACAGCCCTAGGAGAGACACTCAAACTGGCAAGGCAAAGAAACTCCAGAACAAGAATGGTCAAGGACAGGAAGTGAGTCATCTCAAACTGGGACTTCAGCTGCATCTGTCAGAAGTCAGAGCAGGATGCATGAAGGAGAGACAGTGAGATGTCTGGAAAATAAAATAGTAAGGCAGAAGACTGCCACTCTCCAACTTCTAATCCACCCAAACCTGATTAGCTGCTGAAGGTAATGCTGTCCCCTCCATTAAAAGAGGAAGCTTGGTGAAGTGCTAATCCTTGTGCTGATTTCAGAGCTCAAACCGAGCAGCAATCTCCTACAAGGCATGGGGGGAAAGTAGCTCCAGCTCTATCATCTCAGGAAGGATGAACCTGGGAAGATGAAAATAAACTAGATGGGGTGAGTGTCCAAAAAGGTAGAAGTGGGAACTCCAGGATGGCCCAGGATAGGAAGGGAACAAAGACAAATGGAAGGAGTCTGAAAGGAAACATGCTAAAAGGATCAAAATTCCAACTCTGCACCTGAGCCAAAGACCTGAAGAATCCAGCCTATAAGTGCAGTACTGAAAATATGCCGCTCTCTCTGATGAATAAGATTAAAATGAGGGGAAAGGATTATTCAGAATAGACCTCTACTTCCTGTGCTTTTTCCTACTCTTACTGCCCTGAAACATTCCTAAGCAAATCAAATATTTATCCAGACAAGACAAAATAAAATTCACCATCTCTTGGCAAGGGAAAAAAAAGCCTCAAAGGATTTTTAGAACTACAATATGAAACTGACATATTGGCATTGTCATGGGTGATTTCAACACACTCCAATTTTTCATAGGTCAAAAATAAAAATAAAAACAAAATGAATAAGCAGAACTTAAACAGAATCATATACCAAACAATTAGAAAATAAACATTCTTGGGGCACCTGGGTGGCTCAGTTAGGCGTCCAACTCGATTTTGGCTCAGGTCATGATCTCAAGGTAGCAAGATCAAGCCCCGCCCAGGTTTCATATTGGGTGCAGAGCCTGCTTAAGGTTCTCTCTCCCTCTCTCTCCCCCTCCGCGCTCACTCTTGAAAAAGAAAGAAAGAAAGAAAGAAAGAACGAAAGAAAGAAAGAAAGAAGAAACATTTCTCAAGCATATATGAGGCATACAGAAAACTAATACATATACTGGAAGATAATGAAAATCTCACTGAATTTCAAAGAATATATATCAATCATATTGTTCCCAGGCTTTGATCATATACAATTAAGTTAAAAAATCAATAATGGAAGAAAAATTTTAAAAAACACAAATAGAGAAAAAAAACTTCTAAATATTTCATAGGTTAGAAGAAGTCATGCTGAAAAATTAAAAAAAAAAACAACAAGAACTGGAAGATAACAAACATACTATATAAAAATTTGTGGAGGGGCGCCTGGGTGGCGCAGTCGGTTAAGCGTCCGACTTCAGCCAGGTCACGATCTCGCGGTCCGTGAGTTCGAGCCCCGCGTCAGGCTCTGGGCTGATGGCTCAGAGCCTGGAGCCTGTTTCCGATTCTGTGTCTCCCTCTCTCTCTGCCCCTCCCCCGTTCATGCTCTGTCTCTCTCTGTCCCAAAAATAAATAAATGTTGAAAAAAAAATTAAAAAAAAAAAAATTTGTGGGATACAAGAAAAGTCAACTTAGAGGCAAATCTATAGCCTTAAAAACTTATACTAGGGAAAGAAAAATGGTTGAAAATTAATAATAGGTCAATCTGTTAAGTTAGAAAGAAATTAACAGCAAAAAACCCCAAAAAAGTACGGAATAATAAAGAACAGAAACTGATGAAATAGAAAAAAGGTGACAGAAAGAATCAACAGAGTCAGAGTTCTTAGAAAACACTAAAACAGGGGCACCTGGGTGGCTCAGTCAGTTGAGTGTCTGACCCCGCCTCAGGTCATAATCTTGCAGTTTGTGATTTCGAGCCCTGTGTCTGGCTCTGTGCTGACAGCTCAGAGCCTGGAGCCTGCCTCAGATTTTGTGTCTCCCTCTTTCTCTGCCCCTCCCCTGTTTGTGCTCTGTCTCTCTTTGTCTCTCTCAAAAATAAATAAACATTAAAAAAATTATTTTAATAAAAGAACACTAAAACAAACAAACGCCTGCCAAGACTGATAGAAGGTAAATAAAACAAGATAAACAAGATAAAATAAATGAAATGAAATGGGAGCCCCAAAATAGACCAAGGTATGTAAGGACATCCTCATGTAACAGACATAACAATGCAGATCTGTGGAAAAGAGGGACTACTAAATAATACTGAAATTACCTATATGGAAAAATTAAATTGGTTCCTCACTTTACATCATATACAAAATCAATTCAAGATGGACTAGTGATGTACATACGAAAGGAAAACTTTAAAATTTTTAGAAGAAATTAGAGCAGAAAACTGTTTTGTGCCCTCCCAGAACAGAAGGATTTCTTTTTTTTTTTTTTTTTTT